GGGCTACTATAGAATTTGTGAGTTTTCAGAGAACGTGGAGGAAATTGACGTCGTCGAGACTAGATTCTCGGATTAGGCTGTTTTTTTCTCATTATTATTCGTAATTTGTTTTTGTTTTTGTTTTTTGTTTCTGCTATTTTTGTTTTGTTTTGTTTTGTTTTGTTTTGTTTTGTTTGTTTGTTTGTTTTTGCCTCTTTCCAATGTTAATGTTTTCCACTTGATTTGTAACTGTTTCGGTCTGTATATCTGTCGGGATAAAAATACTGACCTCGGGCTGTGATATGAGCCTCAGTCGAGTCTCTTGTTCCTCTGCCGCCAATTCTTTGCTTTCCGTCAATCTCAACCTGCGGAGAGGGAAAAGGTAAAACTGTTCACACGAAGATAAAAATCCATTCCCTCCCGAGTAGAAAATTTGAATAATAAAAGGATTTGTATTATAATTTCTTTGTTCCTTAATCTCTCACATAAAATGAGCGTAATGAATATCTAGTAAAATTATGGTAATGAAATGTTGTTTCCCCGATGAATATCAGACAAAAGGGTATAAAGAAACCCGTAGGTCTACTACATAATATTTTTAACCAACATCAACATCAACCTTATCAGTAACGCAACAAAGAAGCCACTGCTCTGACACACATCTTTTCCTCCTTCAAAATCAAAACTGAAAGGATACAGACAGAGATAGTCCAAACTATATTATGCGTTTTTTTTTTGAGAAAGTGGTGAAATTGATACTTGGTCCGTTCACTTTAACGAAAAAAAACCTGATTTTGTGACTTACTGTTCTTTCTAGAAATGATCCTTGGCTATATGATATTACGATTTATAATGAGATTTTGTGTCTATAGCGTAGACTGTATCTGATAACAGTATAATGATGTTCAAAGATATGAGGGGACGGGAAATTATCACCTTTGGGATAATAAAACCAGAGATTTCACAAGCAGTGTTTATGTTCTGCCGCTCCCGCCCGGCCCCACCCCTCCCCGACCCTCTCCTTTTATGTTTGGGTTGTATCGTATTGTCCTCAAGAAAACTGTCGTTGTTGTAATGTTTTATGGGTCTCTTCTTCTTCTTCTTCTTCTTCTTCTTCTTCTTCTTCTTCTTCTTCTTCTTCTTCTTCTTCTTCTTCTTCTTCTTCTTCTTCTTCTTCTTC